CAAACATTTTCTCGGATTTTCCATTTCTCTAGATGTACCTACAAGTTTCCTTGGTGGATTACAAGGTTCTCCCATTTCCCGATTCTGAAACGTCACAAGGAACGCGTCCTAATAAAATATTCCTGAAAAATCGAAATCGATAGCTTTCATAAGAGCCTGCCGCGGTGCTACTTCACTCAAAAGATGAATAGCGAGAAAACGAGGTCGTAAAAGCCGACAGAACTGCCAACCGCTCTGATATTATTGATTGACATTTCATTTCGGGCCCATATGCAGTAAGTAAGCGGTGTTTAGTAAACAAGAATGGATGCACTGATCAGGTCGCGACCTCGAACGGCCGACTAATATTTGTTATCGGTCAACTGTGTCAGTCGGACGCGATGAGCATGTCTACTTATCGGTGTGTCACGCAATTCGCCACTTCGCCAACACTCACAAACGACCATTCATGACAGCTAGCGGTGACAGGTGCGGACAGAAGGCAGTAGAGAAGACTGCACGCTTGTAACAATACAATTTGGCAAAAACCAAGAGGCATAGTGACATCGAAACTTGGAAATATTATTGAAATGCGGTTAGTTTGGATAGCCTATGACAGCTCAAGTGACAGAAATGTCAATGAACGATAACAAATCGTAAGACCGACGATAACGAGTGAAACGTCACACACTTAGAAAAACGCGGACGTGTTCAAAGCCTTAGGGAAAGGGATGCTTAGTGACAACGCAGATGCTAATTCGATTGAGAAATAGAAAAAAAATATTGGGAGAATCTATGAAGGCGTGACACTTAAGAGACTGGAATTACTAGGGTACTTTACACATAAACATCCCCATTGTGTTATACTGTTCCGTAGGTAATAAGGATTCAAAAAGGTCTCTTTGAGACTAGTGTCACGAATTCACTGAGTATGGCATAGGCACGATGAGACGATATATGAAGGGTAACGATAGTCTCAGTCGTCGACCAATCCCTTTTTGGGATACGACACGCATTCTACTGCCATTCTACTACTACATTTAGGATAATTTATCAGCATAAGTATGGCTTTATTTAGAGCGTTTCCGACGAGTTTCCTTTCCTTTTTTCCAACGGGCAAAAGAGCTAGCATTTCTGTTCCCAACCCCGTTACCTACGAACTTTTCGCTGTGTCATCGCGAAGTTCGCCCTTAATGATACAAGAACCCTCAAAGCAATACCATTTCTTGTGATACCTTTCACAGCGCGAACTGCACCGGTGAGCTGCATCTATCATTATAAATTGCTTTTCACTAAGATCACTCACTGTTACCCTTACCCCAACTAATCGCAGGCCTTCCGCCACGTGAACGTATCCGTCGGGGGTTAAACCATTACGGCATAAGACTGATGCTATTGCCCTTGCCAAGCTGTTCATAGCTAGAAAATTAGCACACTACCTGGCTCCGTTCCAGGGCGCTGGCCCGTCTGCACACAGACTTCTTAAACACGGCCCGAGAAATCTGCTGCAACGCCTTGCATGCTGTGTGATCTCTACAGGGCATTTCTCCTGTTTGAAGCACTCACTCACAATCACTTCTATTTGTACATTCTGCAAAGAAATGGAGGTCCCAGTCAAGCTCACTATAAGTAGCTCAATTGTCATTGGCAAGCCTCGCAGTGGCTTAACCCTCTACTTTTTTGTCGGGGAACACCTCTATGAACACTACACTGACCTTTTTCGTTCTGGAACTATTCACAGCCTCACTCCTGTCGTCCTCAGTGAACATATGCATTGCAATTTTGCAAATTTCCTCTGTCCCTCCACGGGGCCATTAAATGAACAAACGTATGAAAGGCGTGAACGTTCAGACAATTCCAGAATGTGCTTCGAATTACACGAAATCCAGAGCGTACTCTGGACCGCTGGCAAGTTTCTACCAATGCCTACACACAATGAAAACGCGATAATCAATTCCTTCATTCAGTGACAATAATTAAACGACGAGCAACGAATCGGGAATCATGTCAAATTAGTTCGAGCATTAGTGCTACACAATTATATGAAGTCAGAGTATCATGCAATTAGTACAATATAATGCAAATCTAGCGTTCATATAGATAAGTGAACTAGTCGTACTTCTGAAGGAGATTGCCCAAATATGAGATTTCACATAATTACTGGTCCTATTATACGACCATCAATGAAATCTCAAGCCCATCAGTTGTATTATGAATAGTCATGTGAGCCTGAACACTCTTGCTGCGCTGTGCAGATTGATGGGGTATCGTTTGCTCGACCATGAAAACATTAACAATATTAGAGAAAATCCTAGTAGATCCACAAATGAGCGATTACGAGAATTTTACCCAAAAAAAGCAGCACGTGCCGCTTGAAAATTGGCGCGTGAAATTAAATTATCACGCTCCCGTGAATACCGCCAATTGAGCAACCGTAAGTCACTTTAGTTACTCAGGTTAAACTATATTATAGCCTTTTACAAAGCCATTAATCCGTAAGAAGAAGAGAAGCTAAGGGTGAGACGAGAAAGACGGTAGTTCGGCGTCTTTGCGGTACCGATGGGTGCCCAGGTGTAAATTGCAGGGAATTGCGGGCGCACTCCCGTTCCACGCGCAGTTTGGGGGTATTGTTACAAGCCTGCTTCCCTGAACTTTTAAACTGGTATAGCGAATATAGCGCCATGCTGTTAAGCCTCGTACTTACTGAGCGCTCTACACCTGTAGTCAAACCACTACTACACATTCAACTGCAATACAGTGAAGTCAGTAAATGACGGCAATTACGTGCTATCATACTACTAGAAAGCATTTCGAGGCTGGATAGATGTTATATATCTGCAAAGAGCCTTTCACATTGAGTTCACAGTCTTCTTTGTCGCGAACGCTGGTGCAGGTCAGGACGGCCGGGTCTGCCTGACGCCAACCCGTTCGCCACCAATTGTGGCCGCTTATCAGCTTCC